CTCTCTCTCTCTCTCTCTCTCTCTCTCTCTCTCTCTCTCACACACACACACACACACACACACACACACACACACACACACAATCAGAATCAGTCACAGCCTGGCCCTCTTTGGCTTTCTGAAAGGGCCAGAAAATAGTTTAAAATTTTAAAAATCCCCAAACAATTTTTTGGGTGGTGGGCCTTGAACAATCTTTTTTTTTTTTTTTTTTTTTTTTACTTTTTTAATTCTGGACCTACCGGACCGAAAGTATGCCCGGACATCCAGACGCAGACGGTCCGAACTGGGCTCCAGACTTCCGCATCGTAACCATGTTAATTATAATTGTTGTTGTTGATGGAGGAGCAAAAGGGGGCAGACTTCAATTACTCCAATATTGTTAACATTGGACAGTTACTTGTGCATGTGTGATGATGTGATCATTGTTTCGTTCTTTTCTCTTTCCTTTCTCCGAAAAAAAAACAGAAGAGAGCCAACTAATACGAAGAAGAAAATCGGTTCAACAACAAGCTTTTGTGATCCTTCATTATGCGTTTGCGTTATGCCACGGTTATGGTACGGTTTTTTTCTTCTCTTTTCTCTTGATAACCGTTTATCAGGCTTTTCCGCAACTTTCCGCCGGTGTTAGTGAAACCAAAAAACCTATCAAGATTCAAAAAGCTTGTAACTTAATAAGAGCTAATAAAAAGTATCACCTTGCCCAGGGGGGGGGAAAAAAGGCCCCACTGACCATATTCCGTATCATGATTATCATCCCTCTGGTTTGGCTTTAGTGGAAATTGTGCGTTTGTAAAAAATTTAAATTTCTCAAATTTTCTTCACTGCTCTTAGCTTCAATATTTGTATTCCATATGGGACGCTGGGCTCGGTTTGCAGCATGTGCTTCTCCCCACGAATAGATTGGAGCATTTGTCCCACCAAAAAAAAAAAAAAAAAAAAGAGGCTCCCATAGCATATGGGTCTGCGGGAGCAATTATGAACAGTTAAAAAAATGTTGGGTAAATTGATGTTACCTTCGTGCTCAAATTACCTTCGTAAAGGTCTGTATACAGAGGGAGGGCTTCCGCTTCCGCATAAAGGATGGGTGCATAAACATCCTTTACTTCCTGCCTTGCATAGTCTCGAGGATTCAGAATCGTCCGGTTGGCACTTTCAAATTTCTCACGCTCGCTTCCGTTGACGATGATTGCAAATGACATCTTTCCCACCCATGGCCTTTGCTGTTTGCTCGAGTTTGTGAATTCGAGGAACTGATTCTCCGTCAGCGCTAATGGGGAAACAGCAGCGCCCGCCTTCGTATTGGAAACGTAGAAGGTTTTCAGAAAAGACACAACACTGGCAACCTTTTCCACTTGACCGGCAAACTCTTGTTCGAGGAGAGCTGTGCGCGTCATACAGGCTCTTTCCACATACCGCGCGCGGTTGTGCCTCGCATCACGCGTTCCATCAATCAAAACGTAAAGCACAAGAGCTAGAGCAGTCAGAAGGAGCAAAAGATAAAACAAGGCCCTCAAGCCCTGATTCCACAGGAGCATCATCCAACAGCCATAAGGACTCCTGGGGCATCCAGTAGGAATGGGGCCGCCCTGGGCGTAGTAATCAGGCCAAGACTCGTCATCTCCCGCCCAGAAGCACGTACCGCTGTCATCAAACATCCCACACTCCAGATCTCTTGACGGCTCGATCACGCATGGTCCTGTGGCGAGCTCTTTGCCCTTGTTAACATCAGCATCCGGATTCTTCCAGCCCCCCGAAAACCATGATAAACCCACTTTCTGGTTCTTCTTCTGTGCTCCATCTTCGTGGAGCGATTGCAAGGACGGGCCTGCTGTGACATCTTCAAGCCGTGCGGAGGAACCAACCGAAGAAGGGTCCTCCTTCACAGTTGACATGACAGACATGCTCCTGCCCATTTCATACGATGGCATCTTCCTAAGGATGGAAATTGCCTCTGGAATCGTGCTGCCCGTCATGTTTGCTGACACTTAATAATCCACCACCTCCTTGCGTCCCTTTCCCTGACCGCCGGTGCCACCCTGCCGGTACCGCCCTCCTCTCCCTCTATCGTACGTTTTCACTACGCTTCCCCTCCCCTCCTTCCCTGGGAATATCGGTCTTTTCCCCCTCTTTTTCACTTTGTGCAGTGTTCACCACCCAAATGCTCCTTTCGACTCTACCCCTCAATTTCTTACACAACTCGCGTTTACCTTTGCCCCCTCCCTCCCCCCCGCCTGCCTCCCAAAGGGCTCCGAGTCCGACTACCTATTGTCTTCTTTCAGGGTTTCGTACAGGAGCTGATGACCTGGTACTCGAATGCTATGCTCCACCGTTTTTGTCTTCGTCTACCACTTCCCTCGTTCATCTTCCATCACCTTCTACCTCTCAAGAATTAAGCCGCTTGCATTCTCCGCTACAGTCCTGGAGGATCGTCATTTCTTCTCCACTCCTCCCACAACTCCGCCAAAAATTCCTTATAAATTCGTCCACATATCTTCTTATACCTTTCCTCCACCTTCCCCCAACCCTTTCCATTACGCATAGATTTAACTGCCGTTCCATCACCCATCCACAATGTATTCCTCTTTTCCAATCCGGGATGTCAGCCTCACATCCCTTGTCTTCTCCCTTTTTTCTCTCATAAACCACCACTACCTTTTAGAGCAGATGACAAGCATGCCCACCTGCCCCCTCGACCTTTTGGAGGCTCCACAAAAACCACCTCCATTGAACTAAAAACCTGATGAGCTGTTCTCTTTACCAGCACACTAATTAACAACCTCTCTCTCTCTCTCTCTCTCTCTCTCTCTCTCTCTCTCTCTCTCTCTCTCTCTCTCTCTCTCTCTCTCTCTCTCTCTCTCTCTCTCTCTCTCTAGTGTGCACGCTTCTATTTGATAGCTTGATCGAGTGAATGTACGTGCACGATCCACGGGTTTATTGATAGAGTTTGTGCTGTCTCATGCTCTCTATCGTGTAGATACTTCTAATATATCTACAAATATACCAATCTAACATGCACAGAGGTACATACACATTCACTCATATACACACATACTCGTGTGCATCTACCGGCCTCTCCACCACTTTGTTCCTCTCTCACTCCTCGCTGCTTGCCTGTCCGCAAGTTGAAGGACCATACTTCACACTTGCTTGCACGAATCCTATTGACCTGCAGGGAAAGAAAGTAGAGTTTTGACACAGAAAAACACAAAAACATCATGTCTTGTTAAAATTAGCGGATTATATTCGGCGACTTTACATGTGTTGAAATGAACAACAAATTTGAACAAAACATCAAATTACATTGTTAAAAAGTAACAAAACCAAAATTGGTGGCCTCAACATTGACATAGACGTTTCAAATTTCTCCAACCCTTTGTCAGCCTCCAAATGTATCCATCCATTGAATATATCAGAGAGACCTGGATGCCATGCTTAGCTTTCCAATTACCCTGTGAGGGCATATACTTGCACAGGGTTCTTTCAACTGAACTTGAGCATAATTATGGTCACATTCATCCTTAGCTTTGCAAATATCCTGTTACTAGGCTGTTAGGGCATTCTTGCACAGCACAGGGTTTTCCCAACTGAACTTACCATAATTACGGTCAGATACTTCTGGTGTAAGCATGTCCTTGTTTTCCACTTCTTCCTCAACTGTTTTCATTCACTCTTTTATCTTTTAAGTTACACACCACGGTCCCTCCGAGTCTCTTCTTCCCGTAGCAGATTTGTGCTGCACACAAAGTGTGAAACGAGCCACTGCGGCGCTCGTTGTTTTATTTTTTTGGCTGTTTTTCGGGCGGGCCCCACGAGCCAAAAACAAAACAATGCACCAAAAACGTCCGAGAGGCTGAACCCCGGAAGAATGCGGTGGTAGACAAATTCATCGCGGTGGTAGGCAAATTCATCACAAATTAATCGGAAAAAGGGTTGTCGGCAAAAGGTAGTAGCGGTTTGGAGAAACAAACAAACAAACAAACAAATAATAATAATTATAAAAAAAAATCACTTCCTCGGAGTTCCTCGCCTTCTCTTTCATCTTTGCAAAGTTGAGATGCCTGTTTCGGTTATACACATACTCCTTGAGGCTAGGATTGTGCAGAGCTGGCATGAACGTGATCTGCATTGTAGCAAAGGTTCACGCAGTAGCACCCCAACCTTGAGTATTCAGTACTATTCACCCATGTCTTTTTTTTTTTCTTTTTTTTTTCACCACCAGCTGGGCGCAACTTTTGGGGGTGGGGGTACCAGACCAAAATGGCTGGCCACGCCAGCCAAAATGAGGCCCTCACCGGGTCTCTTTCCATTTGGCGTGCAGGGCATTTTCAGGCTCGGCTTCAATAGCTGGGCGAGGTACTGCTCTGGTTTAAAGTGACGTCCTAACCAAATCATTCAGCCCAGGGGGGGCTCCCCTCAGATTGAAGTCTTCCTACTTTGATGGCCCCTTTCTATTTTTTTCTGTTTTGTATAAGTGCAAGCCACCAGCAGCAAGTCAGAACCCAAAGATTTCCAGCAGCAAGAACTCATTGAAGACTCTACATAACTAGAGGTTACTAGATCAAAAAAAAAAAAAAAAAAAAGACCAAACTGAAAGCTGATGGACTAGGCCGATAGTGCAAATTCAGTGCAACGGTCTTCAAAAAAAAAAAAACACAGTTTTGAAAAGAGTTTGTGGACTTTGCCAGGGTAGTTATGAAAAGAGATCACTGTGGCAAGTTTCTTCCAAGAAAAATGTGTACATGCTATGGGTACTCGGAGTAGGGTGTTGTGACCTTTCTGCAATGCTCGGTGCCTTGGAAATGATGCCCGCATGAACACACGGAACACTGAAAGTCAACACAACAACAGAGTATCCGGCGGCGTCATCAAAGTGACCTCACATTATTCATGCAGTGTGCATACTTAGCTGCCCACACTACTTCCCTAGTCTAGCCTGTCATCTACCCTCCGCTCTCTTCACTCTCTTCACTCTCTATCCTCTCTCATCTTGCCAGATGCAGCTGAAGAGTCTGGTCACATAGGTGCTCTCCCGCCATACACCAGGTAAATACGCATGGGTCCCCACAGCCTTCTCTTTTCCTGAGACGCTCTATGTGACAAACCTACGCTACTCCCCCGGTAGTCTCTGGTGCTCTTCTGCCATATACCAGGTGCATCATATCCACCTGTCCCCTCCGCCTTCTCCTTTCTGGAGACCTTTCCCCCCTCCTCGCCAGCCTTTCGCGCATGGTGTTGCCTCCAGCTGTGGCAACCGTCTTCAACCGAATAGAACGCCCGGTCATTATAGCTGTATTTGGCACAACTTTCAGCCCAGATACGGCGATAATTGCCGGGCGTTCTATTCGGGTGACGACGGTAGTGCACGTGCGAGCACCCACGCTACGCTCCTCCCTCGCCGCCGCTCGGCTCTGATTTCCTTTAGCCGCTGGCCAGCGCACTGGCAGCACTGCCACACGATACCGCAAACGGGGCAGTGGTTGCAAATGGCGACGCATTCAAGCTTGGCCTGTGGAACCACCTAAAAGCCTGCAGTGCCCGTCAGGTCCCTTCTGCCAATGCTTTGGCCGGGTCGGTAGTACCCAAGTTTCGATAAAATAGGTATGGAGATGGTGGCGGTTCAGGGCCCCTCCGCTACTCAGATTACTACGAGGAGTGCTAATCGAGCCCCGTCCTGCTGTAAAAAAGCCAGCACCAAGGAGACTATATATTTCTGATGAGATTAAAGTCTCTTTCCCGGTGGGGCGTGGGTGTCGGCAGGTCTGTCTCAGAGAGCGAGCCGTAGACAAGCTATAAAAAAAACGCTGCAAATCCAGCGCGCGAGGTGTCCGCAGGTCTGTTAAACCTTCAGCAGTACGTTTCCCTGTCATTTTTCTAAGATGCTTTTGGCCGACACCTCGCACGCGCTGAATTCTTCAGGGGTCGGCCTACCGGGGCAAAAAAGCTGGCGCGACCAGCCAAAAGAAGGCCTGGACCGGTTCCTTTTTCTTTGGCACGCAGGACATTTCCAGGCTCGACAAGAGAATATTCAAAAGTACTGGTGGTTTAAGAATAGAGAGAGGGCATTAGAGAGGGGTAAATAAGCCCCCATCCCTGGTAGAAATCCAGCCATGGGGGGAGGTAGGGAGATTTGTTCAGAATACAGAGAGCCATCTCCGATTTTCAAAATACATAAAATAAGGTAAGTACTTGTAGTTTTACCCAATGTATCGCTTCAAAATAGTAAAATACATTGAATAAGGTAAGTACTTGTAGTTTTACCCAAGGTCTCGCTTCAAAATACATTAAATAAGGTAAGTACTTGTAGTTTTACCCAAGGTCTCAGACAAAGCAAGAGAAAAACAAAAGCACACTCCAACAAAGGCTCAAGCTCAAATCAAGAACAGAGGTAACCTGTTTATGGTGGACAGAAATAGCCTGTTCTTTGAACAAAGAAAAGAAAAGTAATAGCCAGTTTATATTGGAAAGGACAAAACTAGGCTGGTCAGAATGCACCCGACCTTCGGCACGCCCAGGCGCAGGTCATGCACTTGGCCATCTTGCCATCTAGGTGCATTTTGCCTGGGTTAGTTTTAGAATTTTGAACCAGACTGAGCTGTTCATATACCTTTCAGACTTTTCTTGAGAGGAAAACCAGGCCATCTTCGCGATTGCCACTTGGCACATTTTGTGAGCACGTATCTGACCGCCATTGCAGCCAGATTCACTCGAGAGTGTCGTAGTGTGCATCTGCCCTAGCATCTATTGCGGGCAGGAAAGTACATTCCAAAACCTGTCTGAAAAACAGGGAAAGCAGGAGGGGTGAAAGAAAAGCAAGCCTGTCCAGCATGGCATGTGGCGCTGACTGTTAAAAGTGTTTTGACTTTCCGCATCCCCATGGCCAACTGACTTCGACCGCGAAACCAAGCACACCAGTGCTTTTATTAATCTTTTTCCTTTTTCAGTGACCAAAAAGTGCTACAGCCAATAAATGTGAGAATCCCGTGAGCCTGCGGGCAGTTCAAGGAAGCCTGTGGGCAGTTCAAGGAAGCCTGCGTGGTGAGCGGGCTAAGTACCAGTGGGGGGTACATACCGATTGGAGCGAAGTGTGTGTGAATTGCCATGTCCGTGGAGTTGAGTGTAGTGTGTGTGTTGAGTAGGACACTACAGCCTTGCAGGGGTGGGGTGGATAGCCTAGGCTGGGTAATAGCCCCGGTGCTCTGTTCTCTTTTGAAATCCTTATGGGACGCTGGACCCGTTTTCCAGCAGGTTCTGCTCCTGATCCGGAGGAGTGCTATAGGGGAATTCTCGTATCTCACCTCCGACAGCACATCCAGTGACGTTTAAATAAAAAAAAAAAAAAAAGAGAAACAGACGAAAAGACATCTGCGAAGGGAAAGTACCTTCCATGCGGTCAAGTCAACGGTCTGCTTTGAAAACGTACAAAGCGACAAAGCGATGCCAACCACAGAAAGTACCTCTGCGAAGGCATAGTGGTAAAGTACCTTTCATGCCGTCAAGTCACGGGTGTACTTTGAAAATCAAGAAAGCGACAAAGCAATGTGAAAAAGAAAAGTACATTTCGCGCTGTTTCTCAACTTTCGAAGCCATGGAACCTCCAAGGAGTAGTTCCCGCACCCGCTCGGTCATGGACTTTCCCCTCGAAAAGGAAAAAAGCAGAAGACCGATACAGGGAAAGTTATGAACGGGAAGTTTATCAACATAAACGATGATGACAGAGGAAAGCTACCATCTTCACCTGAGTACAATGTACGGTTATTATAGCTGTCTTCGGGGCAACTCTGAGTCCAGATACAGCAATAAAGACTGTACATTGTATTCGGGTGTCAAAACAAAAGGAAGACCTTTAGGCCTTCAAAAAGGGGTGTGATTCCTAATCAAGAGAGAGAAAACATGTCGTATTGGACTGAACCACTTTTGCACAAGGGAAAACCGATGCTGATGCCAAGACCTGCAATCCCCGCAAATCTCCATGGTCATAGGATCTTCAGTCCTAAGGGCCCTCACAAAAAAGCTAGTGGCATCGCATCACCCAGAACACTGTCCGCATGTGGTGTAGGTTGAACCACTACTGCATAGAGGAAAACTAGGGGCGAGGCCTCCCTTTGCCACAAATTCCCATGGCCGTTGGATCTCCATTCCGTCGGAGGGCCACCATGGAAAAAGTATGATATCCTTGAATCCAGCATACCGGCAAAGGTCGTGCTGGTTTAAGGCATTGGTCAAGTTCACGGGGCATTCTGCAGACAATCCAGGCCTCAACCTTATCATGACTCTGCAGAAAATTGAGGTCTCAGACTCTCAGGCTCATTACCATTCAGAGAGAAGGGGGAAAAAAGCAAAAAAAAAAAAAGCAGAGAATCTGACCAAGCAAGGCCCTTCCTGGTTTCGATCGCAATGATACAGAACATGTACAGGACAAACAAATAGTAAAATACAGTATCCAAAAAAAAAAAAAAAAAAAAAAAAAACGAGAACATAAACGCTCTTGCAATGAATCAGCATGTGATAAAAAAAAAAAAAAACTTGCACACATCACGATCAGACGTAGTCCATCAGGCTCTATGGAACAATATATATATACACTATATATTGTCACATGAATATCAGAGCGCAAATGCGAAAAAAAGAAAAAAGGAGAAAAGAAAACCAGGGAAAATTGAGTTCAATTTTTTATCTTCTTCCTTATAACTCCCCCTGTTCAGAACCTCTCTCTCTATATATATATCATATATATTGTCAAACAGAGCTGCCTGATAAACCGTAAGCAGAGAGAGAGAAGAGGACAACAAATGAGAGACCGTGACAAACTGTTTGTCGGAGTTTCACCTACTTGTCACAGCCCCTCGTTTGTCGTCCTCTTCTCCCTCTCTGCCTATGGTTTACTGGGCAGCTCTGTTTGACGATATATAATGTGTATAATCATACACATATAACTACCTAGTAACCTATAATATAATAACATCTGAAGCAACACCACATAATCTAACAATATACAGAATCACAACGTACATAATGGGCCTCGTTCGACTACTCCACATTCGACAGGTATCTGGACTGGAACGTATGCATTTGGACCGATGGAACATGTGGAATGTATTGGACCTCTGACAGGTCCAGACACATTCAGTATGCGGTGTAGCGGAGCAAGGCCCAATGGAACAGCACAAACTCTACAACATGGAAGCTTGTCATAACAATTAACATTGTTCTTGAATCATTGTTTACTTCCTGCAATATAATGCCAATGGGCCTCACTCCCCTACTCACCAAATCTTCGAAATGAGAACGAATCTTGCCATAGAACATGAGAAGATACACACCCATCTTTTTTGTCTTTTGTACATGTGGAGAGTAGTGGAGCGAGGCCCAATGTACCTACCCGATAGTGAGGCAGGCAAAGCTGACAAAGATTGAAACCGTTCCGACCGTAGTGTTGGGTGAATCCTCTTTCTGACAGAGCAGATCATATGCTCCCTTTTTAGCTCTCTTTTTAAGCTCATCTCAGACCCAACTGGTGCAGTTTGCAGCTCTGCGCTGCATAAGCACGACCCTCCAAGATATCTAAAACCACGTTGTTGCCGACGTCCGACAAACATATTACGAGTGGGGCCCCCCAGAGCCTAAGAAGGGCCAGGCCCCACTGAAGCAACATTCATCCTAGAGAAAACACAACCCGGGCCAAAAAAAAAATGATGGCCATATTTGTGCTTCCCAAGCATGAACATACCACCAGTGGGGCCTGCCCCTAAGACCAAAATGCTACCTACGGTCATAATACACCCCGTCCTTAGAGAAGATACAAACCCAGCTGCTACAACAGTGATATTCATGCTTCCAAGCATGAACGTAGCACCAGTGGGGGCTGCCCCCAAGACCAAAATGCTACCTATGGTCATGAGACATCCCTCCCTCACCTCAGACTTATCCCCACTGGTGTCGTTTGTGCTACATAAGCATGAGCAGGCCAGATTTATAGCCAACGTTCTTGATTGCTTACCACAGCCATAGCAGCAGAGGGTCTGGCCCCTAGGCCAAAATCTACATTACCCAGGCTCATCTCTACCTTTCCCTCCAGACTCTGATGCCTACTATCTTGACCTCTGCATCTGCATCCACCTCTGTCAAAAAACTTACTCACCGATCTTGCTACATTTGCACAAACCTGGCTTCATCTTCAGAGACCAAAGGGACAAGGTTTGAGAAACCAATCCAGCATCCCCTACATACTGGAAGAATGAACTCCGAGTTGATATACACATGAGGATCAGAGGGGATCAAGGCCAGCGTTGTCAAGCAGGGATCCCCGGGGGCCGAGCCTGGGTTGAGGTTTGACCCCCCCTCACCCCCCGCGAGGTTGAATCATCCCTGCACCCCGGCAACCCCGTCGGTTGGCAGGCGAAAATCGGAGTTCTCTTTTTCCGTTCCCTGCATTCCCCGGAAAGAGGAATGCGCGGAACCCTTTTTAGTTGTCCAAAAGGGTTATCCTGCGGGGCTGAAAAAATCAAGCAGCAGCCCCCGTATGACTGGCACCCCCGCCCCCATGCCCTCACCCCCGATCCCTGGTGGCAGGGCCCTCCCGCCCCCTCATCCCGGGAACCCTGGACCCCCGCTCCCAGCACCGACCCCGCCGCTCCCCCTCCCCCTGTCTCTTATACACATCTAGATGTGTATAAGAGACAGGAAGAAGATAAAAAATGAATTTATTTCTTCTTTTTTCAGCATTTGCGCTCTGATAAATTTGTGACTATATACTATATATATATTTATGTGACGATATATACAGGGTCACCAGACCGTACGTACGGAGGTCCCCGGGCAGACCTCCGTACGTACGGGCGTTCGGGGTCCCGTATGTGTTCCGAACCCGACGGCGTTCGGCCCCCGCCAAAAATTATTTCGGGGCCTAAAAATAATTATTCTTTTCTGAAGTTTTTATTGTGAGTTCTCTATGACGTGAGGTACATGCCTGTAAATTTTCAAGTCATTTGGGTAAGCCAAATAAGAATAAAAAATCGCCAAAGATGGCCGTGTCGAAACGTGCTCACCCACGTATTTTTCACTTTTTACTTTTTGTTTTCACTTTAGTTCGGGGTCTAAACCATTTTATTATTTTTTGAAACTTTTTTAGTGGGTTTTGTATTATGTGAAGTACACNAGCAGCCCCCGCACCCTGACCCCCACCCTCACCCGCACTGCCCCAGGAGAAAAGGAAATGCGAATAACCAAAGTAAACCTGCATGTGAACTCAGCAGCCCTCAACCCCACACCCAATGCCCTGGAATTCGAACATTCGCACCGCATATTGATTGAATATAACTCCACCGCCTCGAGAAAAACGAAATGCAAAAACAAAAGTGAACCTGCATACATGCCAGCTGTCAGCCACGGGGCCCTTTCAAAGGCCGCCCACCGCCAATTCATTTTATCTACGGCACTCGGACTCCTACATTTTTGGAGAGGCTCTAAACAGGTTCTCTAGGTGTCTGGGGCCATGTAATGGTGGTTTAAGAGGACCAATTCTTTCTTCAAGTATTACAAGTGGACCCGTGGCGGCGATACCGCGGCCCAACAGAGGGGATGAGAGAAGACGATGGAGGTGAGGCGCCCACCTTCTCTCAAAAAAAAAAAAAAAAAAAAAAAAAGCCTGACATCAGCCCCTCCTCCCATTCCTCCTACTTTGTCCCTCCTCTCGTTCCTCCTACTTTGTCCCTCCTCCCTTTCCTCCTCCTACTCGTCTTGCTCCCGCTCCTCTCGTGCAAAGTGGAATTAATCTTCCTTGGCCATATCTTTTTGTCTTTCCGTTCGTCCTCCTCCCCGTCGTCCTCCTTCCCCTCCTCCCGCTCGTCATCCCCCCCGTCTTCTTCCGGCTCCTCCTCCCATCCGAAATGGAGGGAATCTTCCGCTGGAACATGAAGAGAGACACCGCCATATCTTGTTGTCTTCCCGTTCGTCTCATCCCTGTCCTCCTCCTTCCCCTCCTCCCGCTCGTCATCCCGCCCCTCCTCCGGCTTGTTCTCCCGTGCAAAATGGAATGAACCTTCTTCAGGAACATGGGGAGAGGCACGGCCACATTTTTTGGTCTTTCTTGGATGTGGTGCTCCGTCGTCCTCTGGGTCCTCTTCCTTCCCTCCCGCTCGTCACCCCACCCCTCTTCTTCTCGCTCCTCCTCCCGTGCAAGATGGAATGAATCTCCTGCTGGAACATGGGGAGATGCACGACCATATTTTTTGTCTTCCTATTCGGCTTCCTTCCCGTCCTCCTCCTTTCCCTCCTCCTTGCCTCCTCCTCTCCTCCCGGTCATCATCCTGCGCCACCTCCTCCGACTCGTTCTCCTGTGCAAAATGGAATGAATCTTCCGTTGGAACATGGGGAGAAACACAATTTGTCTCGTTTAGTAGGACATTTACACATACGTGGATGGGAATCAAGCCACATCCGGTGTGGAGACATCCAGATTCCAGCTCTACCACACGAACATGGAAATAAACAGGTGTGCACGAGTAGCGGAGCCAAAGGTGCAAAATGAGAACGGATCTTCTGCAAGAAAATGGAAAGACAAAGGGGCGCACGAGTAGAGGTCATCCTTTGCCGCCTTCTTTCGCTCCTCATCGCCTCCTTTCGCTCCTCCTCCCGCTTGTGGCACTCCTCCAGTTCTCGAAAGGTGCAATATGAGAATGGATCTCCCGCTAGAACATGGAAAGATACAGGCGCGCATGAATGGAGGGTCGTCTTCCCTCTCCTCCTTTCTCTACTGCTCCCCTTCCTCCTCCTTTCCCTGGTCCTCCCTCTCCTCATCCCACCCTACTGCTCCTCCTTGTCGGGCTCATCCTCCCGATAAGGCGTGCACGAATAGGGTGTCGTCTTTCCCCTCCTTCCCCTGTTCCTCCTGCTCCTCCTCCTGGCACGAACCGATTAACTATTCACCAAAGGTGCAAAATGAGAAGGAATCTTCCCCTAGAACATGAGAAGATACAGGCGTGGAGGAATAGAGAGTCGAAACTCATACACACTACGTAAGTACGGTACCCTATTCGCACGTAGCGGGCTGCGCCTCGACACAAAGCTCGCGCCAAAAGACAGCCGAGTTGAAATACGAGAGCACGACCACCCTCGCGGCACCCAGTGCGAATCTCAACCGGAAAACCTGGCTCAGAACTTTCCTGGCGCCGACGGCAACTGCTACTCTCCAAATCCGGCAAAAAAAGATCCCTGGGTCCTTGCATGAAACAGCCAGTTCCGCCCTCCAACCAGTTTCTCTTGGGCCCGCAAAAAGCGTCACGCGAGGAACACTTTTTGCTTTAGGAGTGTAGCGATACATAGATATATTATATATAGACATATTATATATAGATAGATAACTCCGAAAACCGCATGAAGACTGATTTCTAAGTATGATTTGTCAGATGATCTCTGGCCTTGCATATTACCTCAAAAATTTTGGTTTCAGATTTTTGATCGAGGAAATACAATACCCCAAACCATCAGTAATGAATGAACGACTTGCACATGCAAGAATCTAGTATATACCCTAAACGAGATACAAAATGTCAAAAACCTATACACCGGAAAAAGGAAACCTAAAAAGCCAGAACAAAATTACTCTCGTAGGGAACTCCTGTGTACGAACTTCAAATAACTCTGGGTCTACGAGGGGGAGATTGCAGAAACGCTCTTCTAAGTCCATCAATTTGGGCTCCTTCCTGTCTGCTGACTGTTAACACAACCCAGCATAGCGCGGCTATTGCTGGGCTGCTGCTATGTAAACTGGCTTTCTTTTTTGTAGTTCTTTGTTGTTGTTGTTGTTTTCTCGTGATTGTCCGTCAATTTCTTTGACTACAACAAAGGGTAAAAACCTTGTTTTTGGGCTTCGGAGTGGCATAGACTCGGATCCCCCCCTGGGAGAGAGGGTAGATGAGGAGGCATATTTGGATGGGGAGGTCCTTTAGTAAGCAGCGAAATAGGGTAAGATAAAGCGGGATCACCGAGTAGTCTGGAAAGCAGATAGTTCGCAGATGGGTATCAGGAACAACTACCATCTTCCTCCATACATAACCCTTGTTTTTGGTCTTTGGAGTGGCATAGACACGGATCCCCCCCTGGGAGAGGGGGTAGATGAGGAGGCATATTTGGATGGGGAGGTCCTTTAGTAAGCAGTGAATAAGGGTAAGATAAAGAGGGATCACCGAGTAGTCTGGAAAGACCATCTTCCTCCATACATAACACATATGCGTTGTATTCGAGTTTTTGGGAAAAAAACGATGATCCAAACGCATGTGTTGTATTTGAATTCAAGGCCTGTTCAAATAGAACACGTATGTGTTGTATTCGAATAGAAAGCAACACATGCGTTGTATTCGTTCACAATGCATATGCGTTATGTTCGGGAGAAGACAGTTGTCATATTGGCATCTCTCCCCTCCCCACCCCCCACCCCCCCCCAAGAAAAAAAATGAATGACCGTATTCCGGAGTTCATAGAAGGGTCAGGTAGTTTGCAATAGAGAACTTGGCACAAATTTGAGGGAAAGAATGAAAAGGATAAAACGGCACGGAAAAAGGCAAAAAGAATAGTTTGTGGCAAAAGGGTGTTCCTCATGCTGTCTGCTCTTTTCTTCATTTGTTTCACAAAGTGTGCTCTTTAAGTCAATAGATATGTGATAATATAATATATAATGTCAGAGACAGCCAACTCTCTATATTCGATATACTATTATACATAGTGAAAATGCACAAATTTTTAAGGGAAGTCGCGTGACCTTTGAGTCGTCATAGTCCCAGGGTTGGTTATCTGTCAGGACCGCCGTCGTGTGATGGCCATTTCTGTTACTGGACTATAACCCAACGCCTGCACCTAATCTGGGTAAGGGTCCCAGTAATTTGTTTTCCGGGTTGATTGTGGAGGGATTTCCGACCTCCCCCATTTGTGTGGTCATAAAATGAGCAGAGACTTTTTTTGTTAAAAAATAAAATAAATCAAATTGTCATACACCACCCAGTGAGCCGTAGCAGAAATCAAATGAACTTGGCAACGGCCAAATGTTACTGATGTAATTCAGCCCAAAGTGATAACCTAGAGGGCTTTCTTTTCTCAATTTCAAACCAGCGGCCTCTACTAAGGGGGGTGGTATGAGGCCTACTGTAATTTGGTTTCCGGGTTGCTTGTGGAGGGATTCCCGGCCTCCCCCTATTGTGTGGTAATAAAATGAGCAGCGTCTCTTTTTGTGGAAAAATAAAATACAACAAAAAATCGTCATAGACCACCCAGTGAACCGTAGGGAGAGAGGGAGAAGAGGAAAACAAACGAGGGGCTGCTGACAAGCTGTGGCAGTCATATATAGAATATTATCAATATAGATATTAGATATAATTTCATATAAATGCCAACGCTCTGCATAGTAGCAGAAATCAAATGAACTTGGCACTGACCAAATGTTACTGATGTAATTCAGCCCAAAGTGATCACCTAGAGGCCTTTTTATTCTTTTTTTGAAATTTAACACCACCGGTCTCTACTAGCGCGGGTGGTACGAGGCCTACTGCAGTTCAGCCCACAGGGTGCAACTTTGAGAGTGTACTCAAACTGCGACTTGAGTGCATCTGACTACAATTATGGCCCGTCCTGGATGCATCTGACAGCAATCGCACCCACGAATCAGTCGAAAAGGTCCTAGTATAAACTACCCTGCGAGAGTAATTAGGAGACATAGAAAGACACCCGGCAATCGCGGGCGTCTTTTCAGTTTCCAGAGGAGCCAAGACCTTTTCCTTCTGAAAAAAGGGAAAAAGTCTCAAAATCAGTTGAAAAAAACTTGAAATTTATAAAGATTCTAGTATGAGTCGCTCTGAAAGAGGAATTACGACAAAAATACGAAGAGTCGAAGACATATGGTAATTGAGCCAGTCCTTTCGGTTTCCAGAGGAGCCAAGCACAGACAAGCTTTTTTAAGTCCTTTTCTCTGGAAAAAGAGAGAATTTATGGAAAAGGGAAGTCCAGTTGGGATCCCTGCATCCCTACCTTGATATTATTGCGCAAAACCTTATCTCCCAATTGTTTATCAATAATCAGGGCACGTGATAACTCTTCATAGAATAATCACTGCTCATTGCTCAATCATATGTAACTTCAAAGAATCCACGTGTAGTCGGCTCTTTGGAGGAAAAAGAAAAAGAAAAAAGTGTGTGAGAGCTAAGTGTGCTGGTATGAGCGGACACCCCTATTTCCCGCTCGGGAAGGCTCCATCTATTAACTCTGTTCATCAGGTATGCCCTTTTTTCACTCATCTGCTTCCAGTGGAGTTGGAACCCGGGTCTGCGTTTCAACACTTAAGGGGTGTACCAACTGAGCTAAGCCCCTTCACATCGATGAGAAAATCGACAAGTCAAGAGCTGGAGGACTGCTCAGATAAAATAGTAAAAAAATGTAATAACACGCAAAATTACGGACTATAAAACCTGCTGTTTATGAGTATTGCTGCTTGCTGACTGATTTGTTGAGATTTCCATGTTCTGCTGTGATTTGCTGTGCTTTTTGGCCCGCCGTCATACTAACCTGTGGGCATGCGTTCAGGGGTGCAGCAGGTAGGGTTACCGAAACGAGGCCATGAAGGTAAAAAATAAGGTAGCAGCGGGTTGGAAGGCAGATAGGACAACAAGGTTAGTATTTAAAGGCTGAGGTAGCATTTAAAGGCCCGGTAGACTTAAGAGTTAGGCTTTGACCCCACTGGCTGGCGGTAGCTGGCCGCCAACCTTTGAACGAGATGTTTTGAGACCCCACTGCTGGCAGCAAAAGCAAGCATTTTTGTTTCCACTCTGCCTACCTCCGGATTTTCAGCACACCAACCAATCCCCATGCCTCCTTTCTGCACGGGATGGTTGGTACACTCGCCAACCTCTAGCATCCGCCAGTGCACCAGCCATCCCTTGCAGAAATGAGGCACAGGGATTGGTTGGTGTGCTGAAAAAGCGGAGGCAAACTTGCCCGAAAAGGCAAGTCTTCCAAATCGGGTAACAGAGACCTCGTGAAGTGCCAAAAATTGCTGTGGCGGTGGACTCGGGTGGAGTCCCTTTTCGCTTGCCCATTCCCGTAGGCTACGATTTGTGCTGGCGGATGGTTTCCTGGCCGCCAGCTACCGCCAGCCAGCAGGGTCCAACCCTTAGGCTGGAGGGAGGTACTGGCCAGGAAGGGCCTGAATCGCGAGCTTGGGGAGGAATATCAAGCGCCAACGATGTTCCTCTCAAAAGGAAGGGAACCAGTAGGCCTTGGAGGCCGCCACTGCTGCTTGGAGGTCACGGGGCGAAGAGGCAGCAGCCTGGTATATCAAGAGAGGCCGTGAGTTAAAAACTCAAAGGCATCAGGGATGTAGGGTAGGCTGTGCCGCATCAGGCAAAACATATTCCAAAATGGGGAAAAAAAATAAAAAAAACGGGGAAAAATTATTCTCCCCAAACTGAATGTATATGTCGATAAGAACTGCTGTGCGAGATAGGCCTGACCATTCAGACTCTTCTTTGGTTTCACACTTTGGGGGACAGTGTAGTGATGGTTTAAACACCATCACCTGGAGCCACCAGCCATTCGGGCCTCGAAGGTCGAGCCACATTTTTGTCCTGTGTTAATCGGTGTGTTAATGGGCATCCAAAACAGGGTTGGAGACCTAGGAGACCGATTGACTGCCTAAACCCTGATCAGATTCAACGACTACCGACTGGAACCAAGGAGTTCGCATTACAGTACTAGAAAGACATGCTGAAAGTCGCAGAAAACATCAGGCATTCACAATGCAAGATGACAGTACATGCTAATAAGCACTGCAGACTGTTGCCTCTGGGGATTATGTTTGGGTCAAGTCTACGAAGTTTCTGCCAGAAGCAGGGATATCTCGGAAGTTCCTACCTGTGTATAGAGGGCCGTGGGAAATAATGGATGTTATAGGTGATCCAGATGGTCCATCCTATGTTGTCGATGTACCTCCACCCCCACATACTTATCCTGTGTTCCATGCCTCTAAGTTGCTACCCTACGTGACGGGAATGATACGTGACGAGTGACTCATTCCCGTCACGAAGGTCCATGATTCTGCCTGGTATGGACGGCCAATATTACATACACTGCATCATAGGCGAGGATGTCCATAGATCTGGAAGGAGGGGAAGACCACAGCAGCCGTGCGAGGTCCAGTTCCATTACCAAGAACCTGAGGTATACAAAGAATGACATGTGAGAGCCAGGCCCGAACATAGCGTCATTCTACGAGAGGGCTAGAAGAGGCGTGAACATGGCAGACAGGTGAGAAAGTTTGTATCTTTCTAAGAGGACCTTGAAATTAGGTCGGCAGGAGTGAAAGGATTTCATGCGTCAGTACAGTCCCGAGTCCGGTTCCACATGTCCCAAGGTCCCGAGTCCGGTCCCAGATGTCCCAAGTTCCCGAGTCATGTGTACCATAGTCCAACCCGCAGGCCCTGAAGCCGAAATACCAGTTCAGAAACCCCGTAGGTCAGTGGGAGTCCGTAGCTCGGTAGAAGTCCACTAGGTCGGCATGAACCGGCACCCAATGAAAGTCCCAGTCCAAAAATAGCGGTAGCATCCAGGAAAAGTGGAGACTTCCGAAACTAACAAACAATTCTAGCCGACAGGCCCTGCGATGGTTACCCGCCCGAAGGAAATCAATATTGTCAATTGCAGCAGCCACAAAAGGCTGCTACAGGACCTGGAGACACACTTGTTCAGTCGGATGTTGCAGAAGCGCTGCTGGTTGCTTGTGTGACCCTTCAAGTGAGACTCCGGATGCATTTGTACGCCATAGCTAGGGCTTGAGAGACTAGGAAGGATGGAGATAGTAGTAGTAGGAGAGAGAGAGAGAGAGCCGACAGTATTCGGAGAGAGTACGATCTACAGAGAGGGAGAGCTACAAGTTCAGATAGAGAGAGAGAGAGAGAGAGAGAGAGAGAGAGAGAGAGAGAGAGAGAGAGAGAGAGAGAGAGAGAGAGAGAGAGAGAGAGAGAGAGCATACCAGTGTGTGTGTCTTTGGCAGCCACAGCGACCCTGTGGCTGCTGTTTGGAACTTCCGACAATTTTATCAATTGAAATAATAATTTCGAGTTTCATCCGATATCTGGCCCAGCTATCGATTCGGAGCCTAAATACCCGCGGGCCAATTTTGCTGAACCGCCGCGGTGCCATTCAGTTTTCCTTTTGGCTGGCACTTCCAGCCATTGTGGTCCGGTAACCCGAATCCCGCAGGTCGCGGCGTGTTAACGTGACATGCCCGCGGCTGATAGCTGGGCCCCGAGTTGCTGTGTGGACCTGGCGTGCATGCATGCATCCAAATCGAATGTCAATCTGAGTGGGATCATTGCATTCTTTTGGAGAGAACCTGGTCACTTTCTCAGTTATTTGATATGACTCATCTGGGCCATCTGATTGGCGAAGGGTCCACAGTCCAGCTGGGAGGCCGTGTGACCAAACTCTGTCCCAGGCTTGAAACCATGTGGCCTGAGTCACTGCCCAAACCCAGGCCATCCCTTGCTGTGTCAGCAACAGGGCCTGGATTAAAAAAAGGCAGGTCTGGCAGAAAATACAGACATAGGCCCAGCCACAACCAGTCAAGCTGGCCAAAATCCGGAACTATATCGACCTCTCAGGACTGTCAATGTTTCTTTTTCAGAAAGAAAAAGAAAAGGGCAACAGCTATGGGATATTATCGTACAGCTGACTCTGAGCAAGTAAATCTTTCATGCCAATCCCGATATAGCTTGGCCTTTGCAGGCTTTACGTGTGTCCGCAAAACTGGAGCGCAAGGGAATCATACCCCTCCATGCTAAGGTGTGACCCAACTGACATGTGGCATGGGACATCCACAGGTGCTTACAGCCACCAGTTTTTTCTTTTCTTTTATATCTTTTTTTTTCTCTCTCTCTCGTGCAGGGGCCATGCTAATCTTCTATGTATCAATCCAATTTTAACCGATGTCCTACAGGACACAAGTTTTTTCTTTTCTTAATCTTCTTTTAATCCCTATTTCACTTTTTTTACTTGCTGCCCACGTTTTGCACCCGTCTGTTGGGGTGTTTTGTGTGCGTATGTCGACAATCACCTGAGGTCACCCCCAAATCCATCCATATCTATTTTTAGGGTTAAAATGAATGCAAGGTAGCCACGTTTCTCTGCCCACACACCTGTATGCCCTTAATGCCATCCAAGTATGAAAAGAGGGGTAAGCAAGAAACAGCATAGGCACCAACCTGCACTCAATAACCAAAGCCAATCATAACCTTATATCACATCACTTATTTCCATCAACCAAATCCAGTTGGCAAAAAGCATCCCGCTAACAAAGGCCTGATTCTCCAACTACTGACGATATATATATATGTGGCAATATACATATATATCGTTATATATATATATCGTCAAATAGAACTGCCCGGTAAACCGTAGGCAGAGAGGGAGAAGAGGACAACAAACGAGGGGCTGTGACAAACTGTTTCGTCGGAGTTTCACCGACTCATCAGGAGGCTATATATGACAATATATATATATTGTCACATAACTACAAACTAAAAGAGCGCACTTTGCGGAACAAAGAATAAAAGCAAAAAACAGGCACAGTGATAACATGCAAAAATAAAAATAAAAACAAAAAGAAAAAACAAGGGCAGATTGAAACCA